AAAATCTTGAACTAATGTACTCCTAATACACAAATAAACTTACAAAGTAACTGATAGACACGATAATTCTCACTACTAACACTGAACTGAATCACTTATTAACTGCTTCTCGTGTTTATACCAGTTTTCTATATACTGCGTGAACTTTCTAAATACTCATTATGTGTTACCAGAGTCACGTGACTTCCGCTGTCGTAACAGTATTTAATGCAAGGCCTCAACGGTACTGGATGTAGCAGATACAGTTTCGTTTACATATAGCTTTTACATCCGTCTTTACTTTCACGAATAAGTTCTTAAAATTTATAAGTAAAAACGCAATAAAAGTATGTTTAATTAACTATATTTGTCACCGGGACGATTTTTGGGTTTGAGCTAAGTAGGTAATTTGTCTTGAAATTTGAGCAGAAGTTAATATTAATTGTTAAAGTGCACTGAATATTCGGTACAAATTATATTTGTTATAAATCTACGTTGTTTTTTGCTTTATTAGCATTTTATAATGATGAAAATAGATAAATTCACACGTTTATATAGTTAATAATTACTGATGCGAAAATGGACAAACCTGACAAGTGTAATAAATACTTTACATGTTAGGCTACAGGACTTTTCAGTCATCAATCTAGTGACGTTTTTCCCTTCCCTTTCTGTTCGTAGTAGTGTTCTCCAACCATATTTTCTAAAAGACAGCGTTAATAGAACGTGTAGCTGGCACAATGCCAAATTCTTGGTCGCCATTGTATCATTCCGCTCTAATGGGTGTGGAGTTTCGTAGACGCCGGTATTACACCATGATGTCTAACAGGTTAAATTGCCGGCAGTGAAAAACAAAATCATGAGTAAGAGCGTAGCCCTAATTATAACAAAATAAAGTTCTAAAGAAACCAGCATTACAGTCTATTAAAAATATTATTTTGGGCTCAAATTGTGGAACTACAACGATTAAAATATTTATTCTTGGTTGACAAGCTTTCACCTCTTACTTGAAACTTATTTAGGTCGGATTGTGAGCATTAGGAAGAATGGAATAATCGAACACTTTTTCTAGCAATAATATAAACAATTTACATGTTACTTGGTGATATTTTTTACAAAAGTGAGATGAAATAGAAATTCAATGCTTGGTCCAACTTAAAAGGAATAAGTACAGACATAAAGCTATAGTTAAGTGTAAATTTGTAAAAGGAGTCTTAAGTTACATGCATATTCGATCTAATTCCCCTTATTCAGTTATTGCAAGTTAACTCCAGCTAGCTTATTTATTTTCTTTTTGTAATTAAGTATTTGAGTCTAAACTTGAATCAAATTAAGATTTAACACCACGTCATTTTATTACAAAAAGAATTTGTCTGTCTTCTACATATTATTCTCTGCTTATTTCTTATAAAAAATTACCACACGGGATCACATAAAAGGTGCAATGAATTTTAAAAAAATACCCAAAACTCGAGCGCTTTCGAATAGCAATAAATATTAATGGACTATTCTTCTTCGACTCTTGTGGTTGTAAACAATTAACAGTGGCAGTATTTCCTCAGTCTGAGTTCTATGTTTAAAACTTGCATAAAGAAGCAAAATAACTGATAACTGCTATTTCTATAACGTTTGAAATTAAACGGCATTCAAAAATTGTACGACATAATTATAAAATAGCTAAGCTTTAAAAACTTAACTTGTTAAACATAAGGCAACAATCTCTCTTCGCAATAATTTGTTTGTAAATGTAAAAAAAGGGCTACATTATTTAGTTTTAGAACCTTGTGTTAAGAGTGCTTAACATACAGAACAGACATATTACAACTTATACGTTCCACAACTTTAAATTTATCTATACTTATTAAGGATTTAAAGTTAACTTGGGCACGGTAATTTATTGTAACGGTGCCGGTAGCTTAATAAAACTAATGATTTACACCTATGAAAACTGAAAATGTGAAATAAACATAACCACTTATCTGATGAGTTCTCCATTCTTAACAGACGCTCATGTGACTTGTATTTAATAAATTATTGAAAGATGTAACCTAACTAATGATAAATTATTATGACAAACCTTACCGACCAGCAATAGATACAAACGATATTACTTTTTAGATATAGAATTGAATATGTATTAAGTCACATCAAACGAAAAACTAACTTATCTTACAGATTAATTAATTTGTATATAGTGACATTATGTTGAATTGCTAAGAGTGAGAATTATATAAGTATAAACTTATACCTGTAGATATTAAGCCTAAACAGTAAGGATTAATATTCATTTTCAATATTTGTGTTGATGGGTTCCGTCGTTTGCACCTATGATCATAAGTCAGTTATTATATTGCAACAGCAAAGTAAAACCAAACTTCTCTTACCTGCACAAACTGCCAACAACCTCCTCTTCCTGCCTTTTACATTCTTGGATTGTTTTCCTTTTGTCACTGTTTCGATGGTACATGGCCATCCTTTGGAATTTTTCAGTAAAATACTCAGATCACAAGTACGACCCGTTCTCACCCACAGCTCAGTAACAACTGTCTGTTTACAACTAGTACTACCATCTGACTCGTTGATTCATCAAGAGACTTCGTTTGGCGGGAAACGTGCCAGCGTAAGCTATTATGTCTCTCCCATAGATTAAGTTACAAGTTCCAGGAACTAGATGAGAATTTTAGGAAAATATTTTATATGTAAGTTTATTTTCATTTGATATTTTGAAAATTAAATTAAATTATAAGTCTTCTGTATTTCTCTCAAACATCCATTTTATTCTGCTCTCTTTACCAATGCGGAAGCTTCACGAAACAACACTGAGAATCAGCTGGTGTCGCTGCGACATAGAAAACGCGGGTTTACACTCACCAGCTGTCTTGCGAAAAGGTTAGGAGATTTTAATTTATACCATATCAATTTTTGTTATTTTATTAAACAATTTACAGAATTAAAACAAAATTACTTTGATATTTTCTTTTTTCTTAAAATTTCTAAGCATTTTTAATTTAAATTGTTTCCCTGAATTTGTCTTCTTGTTGTCTTATTAGGATTTATTACGAAACATTTTTATGTTCTCGATAGTAAACTTTCTTGTTTCTCAGGTAGTATAGAAATGCTTGAAGTGACTTGCGTGGGATTTTAATACGGAACGATAGAACAATTTAGTCTTAGAGGTGATCGAATGAGTCATTTAAAATTTATTTGTAGGAAATAATGTAGCCTCACCTAAGAACTAAGCTTTTGAGAGTATTAATTCAATAATTTGGATTTGATGAGGTAATTTGATATGATTATCTTATTCGACTAATTTGCACTTGTTGAGAGAAAAGAAAATATTAGATGCGTAATATATATATATATATTGTATATAATCTGATTACTAAAATGTTAACTACATATTCGTCTGGTCAAACAACTGTGACATGTTTAGTATAATTAAGACAGTAGCTATAGTGCAACCACCTCTTTATGTTTGGTATGATTGAAACAACACCTTGGACAACCTACACCATATTCTTGGTATTATTATTAACACAATAACTAGTACAACGTTCTCTATATTGTTGATTTGATAATAATATTCTTTATGTGTTTGGTATTATTACAACAATATATAGTATATCGTTTTTGATATGCTTGGAATGAATAAAATTATTTTCTATTTCATTGGAACGATCAAAACGACATATAGTATAAATGTCTACTCTGGTTCGTACGATTAAGATTATATTTAATATAACCTTCACAACGTGCTTGTTATGATTAAGACCACAACGAGCACAAGGTGAGTTCAAAGCTTTGCTAGATATGATGAAACACTGGTAAAAAGAACAAATTGAAAGAAATAGAATATTAAAAAATGATTAATAAGAAAGAAACAGAAAACTAGAAGAACAAGACAAAAGATTAAAATAGTCAAAGAGAATTCTAAAGAAAATTAAAAGGAAACAAGAAAAAAGAGGTAGAAGGAAAGGAGATCAAGTAGAAGAAGTTCAAGAAGAAAGTGATAGAAAAATAACAAGTAGACCAAGAAAAGGTTTATAGAAAGCTAAAAGAAGATCAAGAGGTAAGAGTGACACACACACAAGAAAAAGTATCTAAAACAAAGTTCAAGAGCAGATTACGAAAGAAAGAAGAGTTCTTAGTTGAACTTGCGGAAGATTTGGAAAGGATATGTGATCAACTCATGGATGCAGTAACAGATGAAGATGTGCTATTTAGGCTGAAGGATAATCGGTGTACATGTTTAAAGTAAGCTCTCGTCGAAAATTGAATCCTTTAAAGTTACAGGTAAACAACAAAAGGCACTATCTAGAAATTACGGGATCATGGGATCGAGTAGTATTTAAATATAAACTTCCCCTGATAATAGTCTAGAAGAACTGAAAGAATTAGTTAAACAACTAATTACACAGAATGCAGGAAATAAAGAACAAAACAATAGGTGTTTCAAGTATAACTTGAAATGACATATTGCCAGGATCTGCAGACCAAAACCTGTAGAAAATAAAAACTCCTCCCAAAGGATGTTAGAAAAAGGGAACTATTATAAGTTTCAGGAATATGGCCATTACATCAGAGACTGCGTGGAATCAACAGCTGTTAATACACCAATAAGATAATTAAGAATTAGTTCCAGAGTCCAACCAGATCAAAGAAACAACAAAATCAGACATCAGAAAAATAGGAATTAGCTGGCCTTATCAGGCAAAGTTCAGCTGACAATACTTCGTCTGCCCCAACTAAAATAAGATGTTCGTTATTTAAACATTTCACTGGTCCACGGACTTATCGATGGGAAGCTTTGCAGTATGTTGATCTACACTACTTCTACAGCTATAACTGTCCGATCCAATTTGATGATTACTGGTTGAAAATTGCCTCCAGAAACGAGGAAAGAAGATGGATTAATGCTAACAGCAATTGGACATAAAGTCCAGTAAGATTAAAGTTGGGAGTTACCCTTACTGTAGGGAGCTTCTCTACATCACGTGATGTGTAAGTAATTGACATCAAGGAAGAACCCACACTGGTAACTGACTTCATGCAGAAACATGAATACAATGTAAGACTTACTTGAAATATTAGGTCGTCAAGAAATTAATGTCGAGTTTTGGAACCCTTTCATTACCCCCCCCCCCCAAAAAAAAAACCTACATCATGTATAATAGTTAAACAAGCCGCCTCGACGCCATGTTAGTGTAGCCTATATAATGTGTAAAGTTCAGTATACTCTAATCCCTTATAGGGATGGCACACGACAAGACACACATTCGGCATGTAATGCTGTTTGAATACAAGAAAGGAAACAACGCCTCTGTAGCCACAAAGAATATCAAAGAAGTTTATGGAAATGTTTTGAACGTTCGTAAGTGGTAAGTGTCAACGATGGTTCAGAAACGCCCTTCAATCGTCAATCGGAAAGGTGTTCTTCTTCTCCACGACAATGCACGTCCACACGTGGAACGTTTGGCTTGACGCAACACAAGATTATGGAGTTGGGTTGGGAAGTTCTACCCCACCCACCATCTGTTGTCCAGATATAGGACTATCAGATTACCATCGTTTTCGTTCGTTGCAACACTATCTTAATGGGAAAATGTATGCATGTGCGGAAGGTGTTAAAGAAGACATCGACATGTTTTTTGCTTGAAAGCCAAGTGATTTCTTTAATCAGGGCATTAACAACTTGATTGTAAGATGGAAAAGCATCATCGATAAGAATGGAGACTATTTCATTTAATA